GCCTCCTGCACACCCCCCACTGGGGATCGAGCCCACAACCCAGGCCTGTGCCCTGACCAGGAATCGAACCGCGATCTCCTGGATCCTAGGTGGACGCTCAGCCGCGGAGCCACGCCGACCGGGCCTTTGGTTGATTCTTGTATGTGTCCTGATGGAACCAGCAACCTTGGCATATCAGGACAGGGCTCTAACCAACTGAGCTACCCGGCCAGGGCCGCAGAGCCTTGATTTTATTTTTTCAGTCTTTTTCACAAACTCCTCTGGCCCCCCGGTGTCTGATTGAAAGCGTCTTCTTAAACCTGCCTCCTCTAAACAGCCTGGTCTGGAACGTTCTGCCTCTAGCTGGTGCCCACGGAGTCTGCATGTCTCTGCCCTTGAGACTTACCCTCCCTGGGATGTCTGGGTGTCTGTGAATTCCTGAAGCTCTCACGCCTGAGTTTTCCACTTGGCACCGACTAGCGGCCATTTGTCATTGGTTTATCTTCGTGTGTGCTTGTCCGAACGTGGCTGGCGACAGACCCAAACCACGGGATCCCTTGAAAGTCATGGTCACTACCCTCCGGTTCCCTGCTCGCTGTTTAGAATTCAGGCTCAGGTTCCTATTCCGTTCGCGGCCCGTGACCCCGCTCTAGTCCACTGAGAAAACGGAGCCACTCACAGGCAGCCGCGGGATTCATCTGTCCGTCTGTCTGTCTGGTGCACTCTGCCTGTCCTGTTCCCTTGGGCTCACTGTCCCCTGTCACTTACTCCAGGAAGTCACCCCAGCGTGTCCCCCTTCTCCTCTGCGTCATCAGCTCTACCCTGTCTATGTGACCCGCAGGCCGCGTGACCCAAAACCACCCCCAGCCCCTGCGTCGCCTTCCAGGTAGTGCCTCGGTTCTCCGCTCCTCTGTGGAGCAGAGTCCCTTCAACGACTCGTCTGTATGTCTCCAATTCTCGCTTCCCCATTTTCTCTCCCTCCCTTTTTAACTTTTTTCCTTTAATATGTTTTTATTGATTTTTAGAGAGAGAGGAAGGGAGAGAGAGAGAAACATCAGCTGCCTCCCGGACGCCCCCTAGTGGAGAGTCAAGCCCACAACCCAGGCGTGTGCCCTGACCGGGAATCGAACTGCGACCTCTTGGTTCCAAGGTCGATGCTCAGCCGCTGAGCCACCCCGGCCGGGCTCACCTAGCTCTAAAAGGTAAAGACACTTGATAAAAAGTAATAACCTCCGTGTTGTTGTTATTATTGGCGAAAGCCTCAACCTCCTCGGATATCCGGTTGGTGTTCACCTCTCTAGTTCTTCCAAAAATGTAATTGTTTTTTTCCATTTTTTTTCCCATATCTATCCATTGCGGTTGCTTTGTCTCCTAAGTCTTTTTCGAATCTGCGGGTTCCTCCTCCATCTCTTTTCATCCCCCCCCACAGTTTATCTGTGGAAGAAACTGGGCTGTCGACTCCCAGACGCCGTCTTTTCCTCCCTCTCTCCCTGGATCTTGCCCACACTTCCTCGAATGTCAGTAAATATCTTCGCTTTGGCAGGACCCAGCCGAGCTGGTCCTCCGCCTGACACCTGTTCTGCCCAAAGTCGTCTTCATCTCCGGCGACGACAACGCCACCCTTCCACTTGCTCGAGGCAGGAGCCTTGGGGTCACACTCCTCCCCCGTCCTCACACCTACTTCCAACACTGAGTAAATGCCGTCTGATCTTTCTTCAGAATAACACCCCAGAGCCTGACCAGTCCTGCCACCTCCACCGCCCCTGCCACCTCTCACCTGATGATTGCCGTGGCCTCCTGCTTGCCCCCCGCCCCGTACGGTTTATTCTCAGCAGAGCCCCAGAGGGAGCCTTTAAAAATATCAGCCGGTCGTAGCACCCCTCCGCTTAAAACCCCCACATGGCCTCCCCTCTGACTCCGCGTTAAGCCCGCGTTTTGCCAGTGGCCGTCCCTCTGACCACCTTTCATCTCCACTTTGCCCCTCGGCCCGCTCCTTCCTGGCACAGTGGCCTCTTGTCATTCAGCGATCACACCGCCCACCCCCCTCAGGGGCTTCCCTCCACTTAAAAGTTCCTTCCCGCCCGGCCGGGCGTGGCTCAGCAGTTGAGCGTCGACCTAGGATCCAGGCGATTGGGGTTCGATTCCCAGTCGGGGCACATGCCCGGGTTG